CCAAAAATTCCCATTTTTTCCCCCAAAATTCCTGTTTTTTTCCCCAAAATTCCCGTTTTTTTCCCCAAAATTCCCATTTTTTCCCCCAAAATTCCCATTTTTTTCCCAAAAATTCCCGGTTTTTTCCCGAAAACTCCCATTTTTTCCCCAAAACTCCCATTTTTTCCCCCAAAATTCCCGGTTTTTTCCCAAAAATTCCCGTTTTTACCCCAAAATTCCCATTTTTCCCCCCCAAAATTCCCATTTTTCCCCCTGGAATTCCCAATTTTTTCCCCCTGAAAATTTCCACCGAATTCCCCATTTTTCCCCCCAAAATTCCCAGGTTTTCCCCCATAATTCCCTGTTTTTCCCCCTAAAATTCCCAATTTTTTCCCAAAATTCCCCCTTTTCTACCCTGGAATTCCCGATTTTTTCCCGGAATTATGCTAAAATTCCGATTTTTTTTTTTCTCTCAAAATCCCCATTTTTTTCCCCCAAAATTTGACCAAAATTCCCATTTTTTTTTTACCCCAAAATTCCCATTTTTTTCCCAGAATTCCCATTTTTTCCCCCCAGAATTCCCGGATTTTTTCCCCCCGGAATTTCCGGATTTTTCCCCCCAGAATTCTCGGATTTTTTTCCCAAAATTCCCATTCCTTTAACCCAAAATTCCCGGATTTTTTTCCCCCGGAATTCCCAGATTTTTTTCCCAGAATTCCCGGATTTTTTCCCCCCGGAATTTCTGTTTTTTTCCCCCCCAGAATTCCCGAATTTTTTCCCCCAGAATTCCCAGATTTTTTCCCCCAGAATTCCCAGATTTTTTTCCCAAAATTCCCATTTTTTTTACCCCAAAATTCCCATTTTTTTTCACCCAAAATTCCCAGATTTTTTTTCCCAGAATTCCCAGATTTTTTACCCAAAATTCCCATTTTTTTACCCCAAAATTCCCATTTTTTTTCCCAGAATTCCCAGATTTTTTCCCAGAATTCACGGATTTTTTCCCCCAGAATTCCCAGATTTTTTCCCAAAATTCCCATTTTTTTACCCCAAAATTCCCATTTTTTTTATCCAGAATTCCCAGATTTTTTTTTCCAGAACTCCCAGATTTTTTTCCCAAAATTCCCAATTCTTTAACCCAATATTCCCAGATTTTTTCCCCAGAATTCCCATTTTTTTTACCCCAAAATTCCCATTTTTTACCCCAAAATTCCCATTTTTTTCATCCAGAATTCCCAGATTTTTTTTTCCAGAATTCCCAGATTTTTTTTTCCAGAACTCCCAGATTTTTTTCCCAAAATTCCCAATTCTTTAACCCAATATTCCCGGATTTTTTCCCCAGAATTCCCATTTTTTTACCCCAAAATTCCCATTTTTTTATCCCAAAATTCTCATTTTTTTCCCACAATTCCCAGATTTTTTTTTCCAGAACTCCCAGATTTTTTTCCCAAAATTCCCAATTCTTTAACCCAATATTCCCGGATTTTTTCCCCAGAATTCCCATTTTTTTTACCCCAAAATTCCCATTTTTTTATCCCAAAATTCTCATTTTTTTCCCAGAATTCCCAGATTTTTTTTCCCACAATTCCCAGATTTTTTACCCAAAATTCCCAATCCTTTAACCCAAAATTCCAATTTTTTTCCACCCAGAATTCCCGGATTTTTTTCCCAGAATTCCCGGATTTTTTTCCCAGAATTCCCGGATTTTTTTCCCAGAATTCCCGGATTTTTTTCCCAGAATTTCTGGATTCTTCCCCCCAGAATTCTCAGATTTTTTTCCCCAGAATTCCCATTTTTCCCCAGAATTCCCATTTTTTCCCCAGAATTCCCATTTTTTCCCCAAAATTCCCATTTTTTCCCCCCAGAATTCCCATTTTTTCCCCAAAATTCCCGTTTTTTCCCCCCAGAATTCCCGGATTTTCCCCCAGAATTCCCGTTTTTTTTCCCCCCAGAATTCCCGGATTTTCCCCCCCCGGCTGTTCCGGAAGGTTCCGCCCCTCCCCCCTCTCTCACCATTCCCAGGTGTTCTCCTCGGCCCCTCCCCCCGGCGCCTCCTCGTTCCCGATGACGTCATCGCGGGAATCTTCCGGAGCCACCAGCGGCACCTGCACCCAGAACTGACCCCGACACCAGTATGGACCAGTACGGACCAGTACGGACCAGTATAAACCAGTACGGACCAGTATAAACCAGTATGGACCAGTACGGACCAGTACGGACCAGTACAAACCAGTATGGAGCAGTACGGACCAGTATGGACCAGTATAAACCAGTACAGACCAGTACGGACCGGTACGGACCAGTATAAACCAGTACGGACCAGTATAAACCAGTATAAACCAGTATAAACCAGTATGGACCAGTATGGACCAGTACGGACCAGTATAAACCAGTATGGACCAGTATGGACAGGTATGGACCAGTATGGACCAGTACGGACCAGTATAAACCAGTATGGACCAGTATGAACCAGTACCAACCAGTACGGACCAGTACGGACAGGTATAAACCAGTACAGACCAGTACGGACCGGTACGGACCAGTACGGACCAGTACGGACCAGTATAAACCGGTATGGACCGGTATGGACCAGTATAAACCAGTATGGACCAGTATAAACCAGTATGGACCAGTACGGACCAGTACGGACCAGTATGGACCAGTATAAACCAGTATAGACCAGTAACCCCATTTCCCATCATTTTCCTTCCATTTTTTCACCGATCTTCACCGTTTTTTCCCCGTTTCTCCCCATTTTCCCCCCTCCCAGTACAAACCAGTCCAAACCAGTAACCCCAAACCCCATTTCCCGCCATTTTTAACCCTTTCTTCCCCATTTTTAACCCTTTATTCTCCCCATTTTTCGACCTATTTCAACCATTCTTTCACCGATTTTCACCGTTTTTTCCCCGTTTCTCCCCATTTTCCCCCCTCCCAGTACAAACCAGTCCAAACCAGTCCAAACCAGTAACCCCAACCCCCATTTCCCGCCATTTTTAACCCTATTCTCCCCATTTTCCCACCGATTTTCACCGTTCCTTCACCGATTTTCGCCGTTTTTTCCCCGTTTCTCCCCGTTTTCCCCCCTCCCAGTCCAAACCAGTCCAAACCAGTTCGTCCCAGTACCTGAGTGGCGTGGTGGCCGCTGTGCAGGTGCGCGCTCAGCCCCCGGGCCAGGTTGGGGTTGTGCCCCCCCCGCAGCGGCACCAGGTGAGCGGCCAGGCCCAGGTAAGCGCCGAAATCCAGCTCCTGACGCAGGGCCTGAAAGGGTTAAAAACCTCCCCAAATTATCCCGGGATTCACCCCAAAACCCGGCCCCGGAAATTCCCGCAATTCCCAGAAAAATAAAAAAAAATTAAAAAAAAAAAATTTAATCCCGAATTATTTCCAAATTGATCCCGAATTATTCCCAAATTTATTCCCAAATTTATCCCAAATTTATCCCAAATTGATCCCAAATTTATCCCAAATTATTCCCAAATTGATCCCAAATTATTCCCAAATTATTCCCCAATTTATCCCAAATTATTCCCAAATTTATCCCCAATTAATCCCAAATTATTCCCAAATTATTCCCAAATTATTCCCAAATTATTCCCAAATTTACCTCAAATTATTCCCAAATTGATCCCAAATTTATTCCCAAATTTATCCCAAATTGATCCCAAATTATTCCCAAATTTATCCCAAATTTATCCCAAATTGATCCCAAATTTATCCCAAATTGATCCCAAATTTATTCCCAAATTTATCCCAAATTGATCCCAAATTTATTCCCAAATTTATCCCAAATTATTCCCCAATTTATCCCAAATTATTCCCAAATTAATTATTCCCAAATTTATCCCAAATTTATCCCAAATTATTCCCAAATTTACCTCAAATTATTCCCAAATTATCCCCAAATTATTCCCAAATTTATCCCAAATTTATCCCAAATTATTCCCAAATTTATCCCAAATTAATCCCAAATTTATCCCAAATTGATCCCAAATTTATCCCAAATTGATCCCAAATTATTCCCAAATTTATCCCAAATTATCCCCAAATTATTCCCAAATTTATCCCAAATTATTTCCAAATTTACCCCAAATTTATCCCAAAATCCCTGAAAAAAATCATCAAAATTTTTTGACCCCAAATCCTTTAAAATTCCCCCCAAAATTCCAGGAGGAGAAATTCCGGAATTTTCTTTCCGATTCTCACGAAAATTCCCCCCCCAAAAAAAAACCCCAAAATTCAACGAAATCGCCCCAAAAATTCCTGAATTTTGTTGAAATCTTTGAGGATTCCCCCAGAATTCCTGAGAATTGCCCAAAATTCCCAAATTTTTTCCCGAATTTTCCCGTTTTTTTTTTACTTTTTGGGAGTTTTTCCGGACGTGTTCCAGCGGCGAATCCGGGCGGATCCAGGGCGAGAGCTTCCCCACGATCAGGGTGTTCCAGTCTGAGCCAAAATCCGAGGAATTCCACCCAAAATTCATAAAGATCGACCCCAAATTCATAAAAATCGACCCCAAATTCATAAAAATCGCCCAAATTTACCCCAAAATCCCCAAAATTCAACTCAAAATCACCGAATTCACCCCAAAATCCCCAAAATTCAACC